TCAACTCGACATTTATATAAAGTTTATATAAATGGTTTACACAAAAATATACAAGGCAAATTATTGATAGTATAATTTGTGTGTCATAAAATTCATGTCATAAGTTTTCAAAGAGTGCAATTACTTTATTATACAAGAAAAAGGGAGTTGTAGTTCACGTAAATCCGTTAATGCTCTAGTGAAACAGATTCGCTTCACCGTACCTACTTAGCGTACACTCCAAGTTTTGCATTATAACCAGAGTCTCCTGGAGGGAGAGTAAAATAGTTGTGTATAGATCTATACGGGGATTGACAACCCCATACCTGAGCTGTTCGCTACAGCTAGACGGGCCAGTCTAGGGTGACAAATATCTTACCGATTCCGACACCTGAAGAACGTCGTACAGACATAACAATCACATTAAGTATGGTTATAATAACTCACATAGGGATTAACAATATTATCTTGGTTTACGGGAAGCTTACACTTCACCGGTTTTATAAAATATAAAACCACATACCATTTTCAATACTCTATTGGTTACATGTCTGGTTTTAGGTTTTAAAACTACAGTTTTCATACATCAGAAAATATTGGATTTTCTGGGAGCATATATTTTACAGATACAAGGAACAGAAGCAAAGAACATGTATTCATACATTTTTAGTCTTTGGTGTAAGACCTACAACTCATTTTATGGAAAAATATCGGATTTTTCTGGAGATATACAAACCATTTCTAAACAAAGCAGATACAAACCTTTTCATACAAATATGCTTATGAACTCACCAACTTTTTAGTTGACGCTTTTCAAAATGACTTGTATTCTCAGGGAGCCAGTAACAGGTAGTCAACTCTGTTTTGAGATCAAGTGATGCAACATTATGGAATTTTACTTTTTGTCGCTTTTGTGTAACTTCTGAACAAGTACAATATGTAAACTATGTAAGTTTGTATTCTCAATGTATGCTGCTTGGGTTGTTATGTTTCATTTATATTCAATTGTTATGATACTATACAATGACGTCATCCGCCCCTAGACGTTTTCGCCGTCCTGGTTCGGGGGTGTGACAGTTAGGGTTTTTGGCAGAACTCGAGGTGTCTTTTTAATATCGTGTTGCATGTCACGTCATTAAGTATCGGTGCAGTTAAGTATTGGCAGCGATGCGATGATGGTTGAGCTTAAAACCTTATATCTCGGGATTTGATCCATATCTAAGCAATGCATTGATTAGGGTTTGTTCTTATCTCAACATCCAACTCTCTGAAACTAAACCCTAGCCTTTCCCTTATGCATGTGAAGAACCTTGTGGATTTTGTGTGTTTTATAAAGGAGAAGTGGATTGTGGATATTGAAGGATTAGTTTGTTGTTGAATTCCCACCTTCTAGAACCTTTATATGTTCTTTAAGTCGTAAAGTTTCTTGTTTTTCTCATTTACATGCATAGATTTAGGTGTAAAGTGAGGTTTTGGTCCCTTTTAGTGTTTTCCTTTGAAGTTCTTGAAGTTTGGAGAACTCCATAACTTTAGGCTTGGTCTTGGATGATTTCTAGACCATAAAAGTTGTGTTAAATGCTTATTTTAACTCCTTTGTTGTTATGAAAACGATTCAAACCACTTTTGGACATATAAAGGAGTTAGGGTTTGAGTTTTGAGCATTAATTGGGTGGTGAATGGATAAAGTTGGAAAATTTATCCATTAAGTCCTTCAGAAGAATCAGATCTGAAGTTTTGAACGTTGGACTTAAGCGTTTGTGAGCTTAATGAAAAGTAGGTTTAACAACGTAAACCACAACGCGACTGTTAGCGGTGTCGCGACGCGAGTTATGGTGGCCAATTATGACTATTTTGTCACTTAGTGATCGCGACGCAACCAGGATAGTAGTCGCGATGTGGGGTCGTTAACCATTGTGTAACATTCTGACGATGAGGTATTTTCAATTTTAACCCTAAGTATGAAGAATTATTGCATTTTGGCCCTTGTGCATGAGAAAGCTTGCAAAATGGCCCATAGTGGCATTTTTGTAATTTTGGGGCGAGCTCACGTACGCGGGGCGTACGTGCATGATTCCCAAACCCTAATTTTTAGAGTTTGCACCCTATTTAAATATTCTTGAGTCCTTAACCTACCTTCTTTCATCAGCGTCCAACTTGCCTTCGTCCCCAAATAAACTCTAATCCACTTTTGAGCACTATTGAGCTTTGTGTGTGTGTATGAATGGAAAAAGAAACCGAACCCGATGGTGAAAACCGAAATTTTTAGAGTTTGGACCCTATTTAAATATTCTTGAGTCCTTAACCTACCTTCTTTCATCAGCCTCCAACTTGCCTTCGTCCCCAAATAAACCCTAATCCATTTTTGAGCACTATTGAGCTTTGTGTGTATATGAATGGAAAAAGAAACCGAACCCGATGGTGAAAACCGAAAACCGACATATTAGGGTCGGGTGTGGGGTCAGATAATCGGGGTCGGGATCGGGTTTGGTATGCTTTTAGAAATTTTTGCGGGTTCGGTTACGGGGATGGTAAACATAATACCCGCCCCGATTACCTGAAACCTTATACCTAAAACCGTTCATATGATTATATATATATATATATATATATATATATATATATATATATATATATATATATATATATATATATATATATATATATATATATATATATATATATTTCCCCGAGTTATCTTCTTTGCTGTGAACGATTTGAAGATAATTTCTTGAGATAGCTTCCTGTTTTATTTGTAATGCTAGTTTTTTGTCATTTTTTTATTCATAGTACTTAGAGTAATAGTGATATTATGATTTATGAATGCTAGTGTCTTTATTGCTTTTTTGCCACTAGTAACCACTTATGTATCACAACAAATACATCTCTCTTAATGGTTTTATACATTATCAAAATTATTCTGAATATTAATTTATGCTTGCATTACTAAGTCTATTGGTTTTGTATTCTCATTGCATCAAAGTTATTCTTAATTTGAATGTTAAATAGGGATCTCCGTTATCCCGTTGGGATACTCGCAGACCCCAACTCGACATTGCTGATGTGTACTCGGCAATCACCACGCCGCGAACTCGACATGCTGAGTTCGGAACCCCAACTCGATATTGGTATGCCGAATTCTCTTCTTCTTCCTCTCTTCTTCCCCCTCACCCACACCCTCTATTCTTCTATCTCACTTTCCCCATCTTTCTTTCTTGCTTTGGCTGATGTGGAGTTGAGGCACATGCAACATGACTCCCCCAACCTAACAACAAATTTAGACGATAACTAGTCTAGGGACATATGATGCAAGATGTGAAAACCACAGCAGCCATATCAACTTTTGAATATTTGGATGAAATGTGTAATTTTATGCAAACCAAAGTATGCAAAAACATAAATTTGAAAAGGTCAATTGATGTGATGATAAAGATCGGAATGTGACGTGGGTGAATCAAGGTCGTACGATTACAATATGGTTTTGGGGGTGCATGTCAGTATGAGAGGACTCCTCGTATCAGAAGTTGGTACCCTCCATACCGTATATTTTGTTTTCTTTTCGTATCACATCAAACATTTTACCATTCAAATAATGTATATTTTTAAAAAATAAAATTTTTATTTAGAAAAAGATATTTTGAAACTAATATTAAGAGTTTATATTTAATGGGTTTTTATTCATTTATAAAAATAAACTTACATATTTTTATCAAATTATGTAACGGTTTTTTTCCTTTATTTTTACATGTTTTGTTGTAAATAAAATATAAATTTATCGTATAAATAATTCAGTAGGAAATCTAATATAATTTATGATATAGGTTGATAAAAAACATATAAATACATTATATAATTGAGCAATCAACTCAATTTTCAAGATACTGGTGTCCTAAAATATGAACTCTCTCTCTCTCTCTATATATATATATATATATATATATATATAGATATAATATATATATATATATATATATATATATATATATATATTGTTTTCAATAAGACTTAACCCTTAAATTTAGTTTAAAAACATATGTTAAATCAAATATCATTTGATTTATAATAAAATTAAGGTGGTACTATACTTACACTCATTCTCATAAGTTATCAAATTATAAGGATATACACATTATTCTACTCACAAAGGGTATACAAACAATTTGAGGGATATGTATGTAATTACCATAAAATTAACTATAGTATTTGAATATTTAATATATGATTATCAACTTTATGAAAGACAAATGGCATCGTAAACATGGAAGACCGAAAACGTTTTATTAACAAACTGTGATTTATTTATTTTTTAATTTGGAAAAGATGGGTATTTGGTTTGACATCAATTATCTAATAATTATACTTTAAAACTATTGTTTAAAAACAGATTGTGATATAATTGTCTCATTATTTATGAGTTTTTTTTATGTAACTCATTACTTATGAGTTAAAGAATTAATTTTAACTAGCGTTATAAAAGTAATTATCTGAAGGGCAAAAGAAAATCTAATTTATTTTAAACTAATAACAAGAAAAAATAAATATTAATTTTGTACCTTTGAAAAACTTCTTATCATGGAAACATAGATTATATGAGTTTTTATCTATAAAATATGTTTTTCTAACGTCAAAAACATTTTTTTAATAAGCTGGTTTATTAATGTTTGATAGATCATAAACTTTTTTATAATAGTTTATAAACTAATTTTTTAATAAATTATTTAAAATAGCTTATTAATAAACTATCTTATAAATTTTTAGTTTAAGCGTCAAATACAACTTTCTATCTTTAATATAAAGGTTTTTCAATAAATAGGTGAAACTAATATTTTCGGTTAGTCGGTTATTAACCTATGATAATAAATGTTGTATTTATAAATTAAATATCATTTTGTTGAATTAAATTATCTTTCTTCCTAGATAATAACTCAAACAGCAACCGGCAATAGCAAGTAAAACCGGTCAACCCGAAAGCAAAATTATCAATTATGTACCGTACACACACAGTCTCTCAGTGTGTGTGTTTTATTCATTTGCAGGTCGTTCCAATGGCAGTTGGTAAGCATTTAGTGTGTTTATGTGAGACCTGTCTCTCCTCCCTTTCTCTCTCTAAATTCATATGCTCCATATTTTCCAACAACAAAAAATCTCAATTGATCGAAGAATTTTACCTCAATCGTCATAAAACCAAAACCACTTCGAAATTCATGCATTGCTTCCCCCAAAACCCAAATCAAAATCAAATGTTTTACCCCAATCTGATCCGAAATTTGAGTTCTCCATAGCGAAATCCTTATTGACTCTGTTCGTGAATGTTCTCTGCTAATGGTTCCAGGTAATGAGTGTTTAATAGTCAATGCTTTTGATATTTTGATATCGATTTAAGCTTGATTAACAGTTCTATTTTCATTCTGTTGAATCAATTTGGTATTTTTTTTTATCAATGGGATTCTGCAGTGAATATATGCTGCTGTTTTGGTTCAATTTGCATTTTATATTGCTGCATGTATTCATTTTCAGTGATGTAAATCATTTGATGTCTTAATTTTGCATCAATGTTTGTTGGTTTTACTCTTCTTAACCTAATTTAAGACTTGAGAGACTACCATTTCATAAGATTCATGTCCATTTATTTTAAAGAATCCACTTTCTGTATTCATCTCTTGAATAATCAAAACTTGGCTTTTTATTTTTATTATCACAACTTGACAAAAATCTAAACTTTATCTCCTGTGGCCTATTTTACTAGTATATTTTTTTTTATAGTAAATTGATCATGTCCCTGAGATTCTAGTTGTTTAATATCACGTAATCATTTTTAAAACCAAAATATCAGGGACAGGATTAGGGCTCAAAATGCTATGCAATTATTTGTAAACTAACCACCTTATTAAATACGAAAAACATCAATTTATTTATATATTATAGCATACTCTTCTCATTTCTTTATACAGACATTATATTTTGAAAAGTTTACATAAGTGACAACTTTTTTTACCAAGGACATTATAATTTGAAACTTTTTATCCAGTTTTAGCTATGAACATTTCAAAACAAGAAAACTAATGACAAGAATCACTCAAAGCTAACACACGAATGATGTAAATTTTACAATTTAACAAGTACAATCATTATCTTGTAACAAAAAAGAGAGTCATTATTATATCTTCTTTGATTCATTTATTGGTTCATTTATTGCTACCAAACAAGAGTCTGTGAATGATATGGAGATTAATGAATACTCTGTGGGGACACATTGCATTCAACATTCTCTTAAACTGTCTCATGTCAGAATTTTTTAAAATATTCAAAATCTTTAAGCATAAAAACAGAAAACACACACACACCCTCTCTCACACACTAACCATTTCAAGTTGGCTTTATCTCAAAAGGGTCTGAATTTCTTTGTTGGTATACCCTTAATCTTTATTCCTTTTCAGGTATGAAGATTTAATGAATATTATGTGACGTATTATTATTATTATTATTATTATTATTATTAACTTATTTGAAATTTGTAGTTATGTTATCTACTCATATAACTAACTGTTCATTTCTGGGAAAATTTCAGATTCTTGATTAATTTTGATTAGCTGAAGATTTATAAGAAAAGAATAAGATTTGTGGGAAAAATGGTGGAATCTGAGGTGTATTCTTCTAGAATCTTCTCACATTTTCGAGAAGAAATTGGTGAAGAAGAGCTTTCTGTTCTTCCAAGACATACAAAAGTTATTGTAACTGGAAACAACCGAACAAAATCGGTTTTGGTTGGTCTTCAAGGTGTTGTCAAAAAGGCTGTTGGCCTAGGTGGTTGGCATTGGCTGGTTGGTATTTTGTTTATTCCCTTTTTACTCGTTCCATAAAAGGAATGGAATCGATCATTACAACGGAATTGAAAGAATCCCACATAGGAATGGAATAGCATTCCATAAAAGTAATGTTTTTTTTTTTTTTTTTTTTTTTTTTTTTTTTTGTAGGTTTTGAAGAATGGAGTGGAAGTGAAGCTACAGAGGAATGCCTTGAGTGTTCTTGAACCCCCTACAGGTCATGAAGAAGATGGAGAATATGAATTTGATAATTCTAGTTGTGGCTCTGATGTTGGTGAAAAAGACAATTTCTTTTGTAAGTTTTATAAAAATAATTCCCATAAAAGTTCTTGCATTTGGAAACTATTTTCATGTTAATGTTTGGTGGCAGCTGGTGCTATGGAGTTCAGCAAAGCAAGCAAGCCTAGGGTTCGATACACAAGACCATGGGGTCAAGGTCAAGGTCAAGGTCAATCTCAGTCAACCAAACCTTTTAATCGTATTGGTTCCAAAGAAGTTCAATCCAATACGAATCCATCTTACACAGTAAGTCAAAGAAAGATCTTGTAAAGCTTTCTTGAAAAACACACTTATTTTACAAGAAACAGATGCAATTTTGACTTTTGAGGTCAAACTTATATATTTCAAAGGTAAACCCCACAATGAACTAAGTAAAAATTTGAAAGAATTCGGTGAGTATAAGAAACTTTATAACATATATTGATTTAAAAAGTGGGTTTGTTTGACTTTGACCTAAAAAGTCAAAATGCATCTTAAAACATGAACACGGAGTCAACAATTGGAAAGCAGGTGACTTTTGTAGTGGGTTTTATGTATAGGATGAATATAAGCATTGCATCGGATCTTGTCATGCATTTTCTTGATTTTTTTTTTGTGTGTTTGACCAGAAAGTCAACTTCGCGAAGCTTGGATTTGACACACTGTGGCGATATTATAGCACCTTCAACCTTGTAAGTATACACCCCTATCCCTACCCTACCCTACCCCACCCCACCACAACCTACCCCACCCAGCCCTTCCTCTAACAAGATTCACATATTGGAACTGATTTTAATTTCTTCAGGGAAACATGCATTCTAATCCTACTAAGGAACAACTGGTGATTGCAATCCAAAAGCATTTTGCTTCACAGGTATATCTGGTTTAGGGTTTAGGGTTTAGAGTTTTAGAATGATTAATTATGAAGCTGATTCATGTGTGTTGGAATGGAACAGCGAGTGAGTGAAGTGGAAGTGATAATGGAGTTCGTTCATGCTGCAAAAAGACAGAAAAAAGGAAGAACACACAGGGAAACAAGTTGAAAGGATCCGTGTGCTTTGTTTGTATAATCTAATCTAATCGAACACGTAAATTGTTTATGCTAACTGATGTAGCTCTTACTTAGGAACCAAGTAACTCTAGAGATAGGAAAACTTATTAGTCAAGCAATTCGATACTCTTGCGAGATTTAACCGTGTAATATATCGCTCTATGCCTCGGTTTATAAAGCTTAGTTTTCTCTATGTATTGCTTTGATCGAGTGTTGAATGTTTAAATAATAGTATCTATTGGAAATAACGTGATTAGAAGTTGCGACATTACTAAATTTTGGCCCAATTTGAAAACCATTTATCTTTTTAAATCATCTGTTTGCAATAGAAAATCCTACTTATTTTCAAACGATAATTAGTATGTTTCGATATTAGGATACACCGAGTCATTGGGTTGATTTACAACTATGTATTGTTCTCTCGCTAGACTTGATGGTTGGTCACGCTCATTTGGCATTTTGAGGTATGATTTGATCCTAATAGTATTTGTGCATAAACTCTTAATTTCATGGTTTATATTTGATGTAAAGAGGGTTTTCAGAATAAACCTCTCTCCAAATTCAAAACTTTGAAAATTTTATAGACAAAATTATACGGTTGGTCTATGTGATTTGCCAAAACAGACTAGTCGAGTACAACTATCTAAACCAGTATGCGCTTGGTCCCGTAATTTTATTTTTTGCATAGTTGGTCCTTAATACATATTTAAAAAAATTCTACTTTTTTATTCTTTTTACATTTTTGGTATATTGTTTATTTATTTTTTATTAAAAAAATATAAAATCAAAGAAACCCCACTCTTTCTCTCTACCAACCTTTACTATTCATCTAGGTTTGTTCTTCATGAACACACACACACACACATATATATATATATATATATATATATATATATATATATATATAAATGAATAGTTTTAATCTCCTTTTAACAAGTGTCATTCTAATACAATTCCTTATTAATATTATGACACGTGTCATGTAGATATATTAGACAATTCATTTCAAAATTCAAATTTACATTTTCTAATTATATGTTAAATTTAAAGTTATAATAACTTTAAAAATTTGATATATCTCTTCACTAATAATTTATTTAAAATGATTTATTTAAAATAATTGATTAATATTTATAAATTTTTATTATAAAAGTTTAATTAATTTTATAACCGTGGTTCTCACGGGTTATATATATATATATATATATATATATATATATATATATATATATATATATATATATATATATATATATAGGCTTAAGTTATTTTGTTTTTACTAACTATTATGTGCTAGAATGCACAAATCTGGACCAACGGATGAAATTAATCAATGGACATGATTTGAGAGTGCATGATATTACAATGAGATAACATGTACCATATAATCACACAAATTTTAGCAAAATGGTATTTTGGACAATTAACTACAATTATAAAAGGAAATTTTCGGATTTTTAGGGATAATTAATTCTCCTAATTTTAAAAATCTGAATTTTTAATTAATTCAATTTAATTCTAACGTAATTTGTAAACATAACCGATTTTATTCTGTCAGAATATTTTTTTTGTTAGAATGATGCTCTTTCAGAATTTTATTCTATTAGAATATTATTGAAGAATAACAAAATTTTTGAATCCGAGGTTGAAAAATAACAACATTCTAATATATTCTAATACATCCGAACTTAAAAACAAATTCATACATAATCTTACAGACTAAAAGTCTTATACATTTCAATATAATTATACATATTCTAAAAGAATATCAACAAAAATGAATAAAATTCTTAAAAAATAACAACATTATTAAAATGTGAGTATGATAAAACTTTATTCATTCTTCAAGTTATTCCTATTAGGTCTTCAACTCATTCTTCCAGCCATTTCTATCGCATATACAACAAAAACTAATAATGGTTAAAAACATGTTACTTGCAATTAACTATCACTTTATATATTCTGGTAGAATACATAGAATATGAGAGAATACATTGAATATATTCTGACAAAATACATAGATTTCATTCAGGCAGAATATATTCTGACAGAATACATAGAATACATTCAAAAGTATCGTATTTACCGCTAATATAATTTTAGATTCCAAATACACAATAATGAGGGTCAATAGAAATTGGAATTCAAAATAACAAATTGAACCAAAATGATACACAAACAAATTAATTACCTTTTTAAACAATTTTCTAGAACAAGATGAGTAGCTTTCACCAATCTATGTTGACATATGATATCAAACCTTTACTATGTTGGTATATGAAATCAAACAAAAATAATTGAATGTGTTGGCATATGAAATCAACCCCATCAGTATATACACAATATGGTATGAATTAGTGATGTAAACAAATCTAAGTTGTGAGAATAATGAAATTTGAAACCCTAGATTTACCTGCACTCGCTGGCGAAAATCTTAGCATTCTTTTGTAGATTATTCTACCAGAATATAACATTCTTTGTTGAATATTCTAACAGAATAATATACCTGTTGCATAATATTCTTAAGGAATAAATCATCTGTCTTTCGGTGCCATAGTTTTACTCTCTACATTATAATGTGTGTGTTTATGTGTGATAAAGAAAGATTATTACAGAGAGAAAGAGAGAGACCTCGGGGTTCTTGTAAGAAGATAGGTGTTGGAGTAAGAGGAAAATGGAAAGGGTGGGGCTGATAAAAACAAATACAGCAGCTACTCCGGTTGTCCATGGGAATTGGGAGTATTTCCTGCAAATTGCCAAAGTATTTACAGAACTGAATTTAACATGGGATCCATGCTGATCACAGATGACTAAACGAGGTACTGGAAATTGTTCCTTTACAATAGCCTCAGCATCATTAAGAGGAGCTCTTAACAACTGGGCAAATGCATGCAAACCAGTTAACATGTTCCATGATTGAGCTCTCAAAATAGGGTCCAAATTTGAGGAAATCCAAGGAAAAGAAACAGCATGTACCTCGTGTTCAGGCTCGTTCTGATACCCAGCTTTGCGCCATTGAGCAATCGTAGATCCATGAAATACAACGACTGTAAAATAGGAATCTAAAAGAAGGATTCTGTCTGGAGCGATAGAAGCGACGTCTAAGAGAGCTGGTTCTGCTCCGCAATTGAAAGCGTAAGTGATTAACGAAGGTTGAATCATCACAACCGAATTCGCAACATCTTCTCGATTCATAACCATTCTGAAGTATGCGGTCTCATCTGGGCTGTTGTTGAAGACATAAAACACAATTCCAAGTCATCTCAATCTTCAAAACGATGAACGAACCCAATCATGCTAAAAGAAAATAGATTCAAGATTCAAATATACCTGTACGAATTGAGAGCGTCGCAAATTGAATATAAACTGATGAATTGTTGATAACCGTGGGGATAAGACGAATGAAGACAGGTTGTCCTTTTGATAATCTCCAAAGTAAGAACAGAGAGTTTTTGATTTTTTTGGTCAGCGGTTGAAGAAGTTGGAAGCCTTTTTGGTGGAAAAGAGTAACAAAGGCATCAATCATAAGAGGAAGTCGTTCGTACTCTTTAGTGTTAGGGATGTTGGTTTTGTAGGGTTTAACTAATTAAGGAGAGATTAATTGAATGATTTTTTTACCATAATTAGATATACTAATTACCATTATACCCATTTTTAATTTATTTGATGATTTATTATTTCCTCAATTCTCATTGGTGCATACATCCACACAATAATTGCTAGAAACATTTGAACCTAACTCTCTCTCTCTCTCTCTCTCTCTCTATATATATATATATATATATATATATATACTCAAGAACATCTTCATGAACACACATACACACACACTTATGAATAGACCTAGCAAATGTGTTGTGTCATGTCAAAACAGTAAACGAATTGAGAGAGCTTGGACCTAACCCCTACCTGTTTAATTAGCATGTTGTGTCATATCAATCCGTTTATTTTCTTGTCGAGTTCGTGTTGAGTTTAAGGTTAGGGGTATACCTTGAAAGGCGACGTGTCGTGTCATGTCATGTAAGGTTGAAACACTAAACATGTTGAAAGAGTATGATTCACGTAGGCAGAAATGTAAAAGTATTAATTGGAGGTGGAATAAATAAATTCATAGTAAGTTTAGAGGGAAAACAAAAAGAGTTGGAGTTGGAGAGGCGAAGGGTGGGACCATAAGGAGGAGGGAGTGGTTGAGGGGACTATATAGTTTGAAAAAAAAAAGTATTAGCCTAACCGGGTGACAGCAGTCATGGCACACCTCGGCGCTAACAACACAAATAAAAGCGGGAACTGCGCTGAAAGTTCCAATCGTAATAACAACCAGGGACACCCCCGAGTATGTTCCTGCAAGGACGCCCCAACTTACAAACCTGAGAACGCCCACGACAATGAAGGAGTACTACCCAAGAAACGAAAGTTCTGGACTAGGAGAAAGAGCCGTCCGAATCAAGGACCTACCAAAAGACAACAAACAGTGACATTCCATACCACCACCATCCCTACTACCTCAGTGCCGACAAGACCATATGCTGGAAACCTGCCAAAATGCACCAAGTGTAGCTTTCATCACAGAGGAAAGTGCAGGGAAATGCACTACAAGAACTGTAACAAAAAGGGGCATACCACAATTTTCTGTAGGGTGCCGGCATAACAGACCGCCCAGGACACAAAAGTTGGGATGAGTCGGACTTGCTACAGATGTGGAGAAGTAGGGAATTTCATAAAGGAGTGACCAAAGACTAAAAACAAAGATGTCAGGAGCGTCGGAAGTGTTTCAGCAACAAAGCGTGGGAAAGCAATAATAGACCCCACTGAGATTCCGGTACGTTCATGCATGTATACTATATAATAGCAACGAGGAGAGGAGTATTGTGAGTCGTAGATTTAATCAATTTCTCAACCAAAAACCTCAAACACTTAAACGAAATATTTACAGTAGAATTGGAATAATCAAAAGCACTAGAGACGTGTACATAGGGTGCACTCTAACACTAAATCAACCAATTAGTTCAAATCATCCTAAAACCGATCACAATAAAAAGTTACGACATTTTCATTTTAACAACGCATTAGTTAGTTTCCTCACCATACCGATATCATATATTACGAAAAAGGCGTTCGCCTAAACCCATCGAGTAACAAAACCCTCGTCGTCTATGGCGACA